GTAATATTGTTTTTCTTTTCACCAAGGCCACTCCAATGTTGTTTTCCTTTCATCTGTACCACTGTAATATTGTTTTTCTTTTCACCAAGGCCACTCCAACGTTATTTTCTTTTCATATGTGCCACTGCAATGTCATTTTCCTTTATTTTGTACCACCTTGATCAGACCATAACCTGACACCATAGATTGGAAACAAAAGCCATTCATCTTTACTAAACATCTACAACTGAGCTACTCAAAAGAGCCATTCATCTTTACTAAACAACTGTGAAAGTTTTACAACTGTGCTACTCAAAATATCCATTCATCTTCACTGAACACCTGGGAAAGTTTGACAACTAAGCTACTCAAAAGAGCCATTCATAATGAGGGCTGGCATTCTGTGCTTCTACTTGTTCAGTTACATAGCAACTCAAGATATGAGTTCAACAACCTGTTTTACAACTAAGATTTTCACCAGAACCAGAAATGCCTTCAAAATAGCCAATCTACCTAACCGAACTAAGCACTACAAGGGAGATGAATGACTTCAAAAGTAGAATAGCCCACAACTACTATACACAGATTCTCCATTTGCGAGCCTTGGCTTGGTGGCTGGGACACGTGACTTGATGGCCTCCTTGAACTTCCCTGCAAAGTTCATGTATGTGAGTATGTTTCTAAAGGATGTTCAAAATAAGAAACGTAATACAAAATTATAAAGTTATACATCTGGCATCAATTGGACGACTTGTGGCTGACTCGGTGATTGTGTTGCACCCTTAGATGCCTTTGCTTGCAGCTTCTTCAATGCTGTTAGCCTGTTTCTTTCAGCTCTTTCACGCTGCCTCTTCAGTTCTGCTTCTTTCTTTTCCTTCTGTTTTGCTTCTTCCCTCTTTTTCCTTGCCAAATCCTTTGCCTCTCGGTCCTTATGAAATGTCTTGTTGTGCCCAACCTCACCACAAGAAGTACACTTATACTGCTTCTTTGCAGGCTTTGCAGCTTCTCTTTCAGGTTGCTTCTGCCTTTTCTTACTTCTTTCATTTTCTCTAGATTCCTTTCTTCTTGCTTTCTTTGGTCTACCTCTCTTAGTGGATTCACGAAGAGCAGGAACCCCAACCTCTCCAAGTTCTGACACAGGCCAATACTCTTTGCCAGCTGTTGGTGATATGGAATGCTCATAAATTCTAGTGGCTGTTTCTTTTCTGTAACAATCAGCCACGAAGTCGTATACCCTAAGCTTTGCCCTGCCAATTGCTTGAATGGCGTGTTCACATGGAATACCTGTCAACTCCCACCTTCTACAAGTACAGGTCTTGTTTCTCAAATTAACCACAACTTGCTTGTTGTACCACCTCACCTCAAACTCCCCATTTCCGTTTGATTCAGCCCCCCACTTAAGAGCTTCTTGTTTCAATTGTTGAAGCTTTTTCTCAATATGCCGACACAAGGGACCACTCCACTTACTGACTACTCGTCGCCTCCGAGCATGTAACGACATCAATTTCCTCCTAATCCCTTCCCACATGCTAACAGGACCCATATCTCTCTCATCCAAGATAACTTTATTCCAGCTCTCAACCATGTTGTTCGTTAGCACATCCGATGAAATGTAACAAAGAAAATGTGACCTGGTCCAATGATGGAATGACTTTTGAACCAGCCAATCATATGAGGTCTTGTCGTATTCTGACATTGCTTGCATAGCAGCCATGAATTCGGGCACTGTTGGAGCCCTAGCTGCTTCCCAGAACAATTCTTTAACCCTTTGTGATGCTCCACATGCACTCCTCAGGTTAGTGATAAGATGCCTCGCACAATGTCTCTTCTCGCTGAGGGGAAACTCATCATCGAGGGCTGGCACGAGACCCTGCAAGTTATGAAATTAACTTAATTGCAACTCAAGAAAGACAAATAATACTGAATTTACAGCAGCTAATTTTAGCAAACATGGTACCTTTTGTTTGTCCGACATGAAGGTCCATCCAGGATTATCCTGAATATGCAAATCATCACGAAGTAGCTCAAGGAACCAGACCCAGTTGTCCTTGTTCTCCACTTCCACGTGAGCAAATGCAACTGGAAAATATTGGTTATTAGCATCCATGCTTACAGCAGATAGCAGCTGCCCACCAAAATCATGCTTCAAGAAGCATCCATCAATGAACAGAACCTGCCTACATCCAGCCCTAAAACCTTGCTTTGATGCCTCAAAGCACACATACATGCGATGGAAAACTTGATCTCTTTGCTCAACTACAACAGTTGAGTTAGGATTGCTCTTCCTCAACTCTGCAGCATAGTGATATAAGCTTCGGTACTGCTCCCTCATAGTCCCACGCACAACTTCAATGGCTGTCTTCTTAATCCTCCAAGCTTTCGTATCCCCAACTTCTTCCTTGTAATCTTCCTTCACGATTTGTTTCAACAACATTCTACTCATACTGTGATCGGCTGCAACCTTCCTAGAAAGTTTTTCCCCCAAGAACTTGTATGTAGCATACCTGTTTGTGAATGTCAAGGTGCATTCTGCTGAGTGCTCCAACGTGCATCTGGTGATTTTCACGGCATCCTCATCCCTCACCTTGGATGCCCATATATACCAATGACATTCTCCCTCGCACTTGACTTGCAACCTCTTACTATCATTCCTTTTGAAGAAAATTGGTCGCTTAGTCATGAAAGAGTATTGCTTTAGCGCATCCCTCAACACATCAAATGAACTGAATTTTTGAGAAATAGCAAAGGTGGGCATTTCCATATCTCGGTCCACCCGAAAATCTTGATCTCTTTCACTTTCAGAGTCCTCTTCCTCCGAACTGTGGACAGACCGACGGTCATCTGTGTCCACAGAATCAGATTCCTCTCCCTCTAAATCAGCTGCACCAATGCTGGAATCTCCACCCTCAAACATGCACATATTAGCCTCCACCTCAGTATTTACATTCTTCAGAAAATTTGCAGCATCATACTCAAAGTCACTATCTTCCTCTTCTTCTACATAGTCACTGTCATCAGTGTCATCGTCCTTTCCTTCTATTCCATCATCTTGCCTATATCCAGATTCATCATCCTCAGCATCACTCTCCAAAACACCTTTAACTTCCTGATTAGCCATAGCATACAGCTCGATAATCCTAGGAGGTTGATTAGCTGTTGATGCCATCTCCATCAAGTCTTCATCTTTAGTAATCTCCATCATTGTTTCTTCTAATGGAGCTTTCCAAAAAAAATTTGGATTTGTCTGCTTCCCACCACACTCCTTGTAGATATCCGGCAAGTCGAGGACAGACAACTTATCAACATCAGCATAATCATAGTAAACCAGAGAGTTATCCCTTATAAATTTCTTCCCACCCTTCTTTTCGATTTCATAGTCCAAGTGTACTTCAAAGCTAAATTCACCACTAAATTTACCTGTTTGAATAAAAAGAATCAGTATTAGAAAATGATACATGTTAGCTACTGCATATATCATGCATATATTAACCAACAGTAGTACGTACTAGTAATAAAGAGACTACACCAACCCATCAGCTAAACAGCAAATGCAATGAAGACAAAATGAATGCTTATTTTATTCAAAAGCCATCCACATGTTGTTTTCAACCTAATAAACAATGATGCAACTGACATTACTCCATAAAGACAAGAACCTAACCATATTTGGGGATAGGAGCATTCGGTTGCCGCACATGTCCCACCATATTGCTTCACAAACGGGACCAGCAACCTGGAAAATGACAAGATACAATGAAAATCGAATAAAGAGATGGCGACTTTTCCCCTTTTCCCTTTCGTCCATATCGAATCCCTTTCCCAATGCAAAAGGAAGATGGAAAATGAGACTATCACCTTTGGTTTTCTGCTTTCTTGCCGCCAGAACACCACAGATGCAAGTTGGAGTAGCGAATCGGGAGATTGTTCTTCAGGTCGCGATTCTAGGGTTTCTGTACTTCTCACCACAATACAAGAACGAGTAGTATAAGAAGAAGGAAGGAAGGAAGGAAAGAAGGAAGACGATGAAGATTGGGCTTTTTTGCTCCTCACCTGTACCTCCCATGTATGCTCTCCTGCTGGCCGACTCTCCCCTGCACGCTCTTCTGGAGTGAAGAAAGGGAGGAAGAAGGAAAACATGACAAGAGGAAAGAAGAAGGGGAATCGGGTTATTCAAAGTAAAAATAAAAAAGAATAATTAAAGCAAAGTAAAAATAAAAAAAAAATAAAAATGACGGGCTCCGTCCTTTTCTGGGTCGGGTGCTTTGCTGGCTCGGGTTTTTAGGCTGATTCAGCCTTTCTGTCGGCCCAGTCAGATTTTCCGATTGCCACGTCATTAAAAATCTGACGCCGTTAACGGGGTCTGACGGAGGCTGACGTCCAGTGGCTAAGGTGAAATGTTTCGTAAAGTGAGTGACCAATAAGCAAGGTTTGTAATTCGGGTGGCAAACGTGAAATATTTATGTAATTTATTTTCCCGATTTGATTGAACTTCTGGATTTTCGCGAGGCGTTATACTTGATTCAACGGTGGCAATGAATTGATCGAGATGTGCTCCTCACGGGGGATGCCGAGGCGATTGTAGACAAATTGTGCGCAGGAGACACCTCCGACACCCGCGGTGGTGCCATTTTTAGGGAATGCATTTTTACTCCAATTACCAAGGGTCACATTACTTTACACACCTCGAGATGTGAATCGGGCTACCCATTGTGTGGCGTAATGAGCCTTACACTATCTTGGTTTAAGTCCTACACTTCTTGATTTCTCTTCTTTAGTATGTCTTTGAGTCGACAAGTGAGAGTGCTGATCCTGTGGCCTCCCTGGCTCCCTTGTCTTTAACATTTAAAATCGCAAGAGTTTTAGTGACAAATTTTTTTTTTTTTGAAGAGAGAATACTGTACAAGTACAAGTTAACAATAGGGATGAGATTAGGTGCTAACCCCTATAAGGGTTAGCATCGTGATAACTAGCAAAAATCACTACGGATTATTATAAAATCAATACAACATCTAAACTAAATCACTACTAATTCAAACTAGTAGTAGTTTTTCCCTTAATTAGTACGGTGCTAATTGTACAACGGTGCTAACTATTGTACAATTAGCACCGTAACCCCTCCCTTAACAATACACGAAGCGCCAAAACCTCGCAAAACCCTAAAAACCACCAAATTCTCTTCTTCACCGTCAACCTTAAACCCTACCAAAATTCGGGAGCATGAAGTCGGTGACCGGTGAAATCGTCTCATCGACACCCGTCTCTCTACCCAAGGCAGCCTCTATCCTCTCCCAATTCGTCTCCGCCGATACCGGCGCTTCCCAGGCCGTTAACGCGTACCTCCGGCGTGCCACCTCTGCTTTCGACGAGCTGGTCCGATTGCACGCCAAATCCGCGCGCAGGGCTCGAGAGAGTCTCAGATCCGACGCTGCCGAACCCTCTGCACGTACCATCACTTTCGTCAACACGGTCGACGAGAGAGTTCAACGGTCGAAGGAGACGGGTCGGGCCGAGTTGAACTTGGAAGAGCGAAAGAGGAAGAAGAAGAAGGAAGGAGATCAGATTGAGGAAGAGCAGCGTAAAGACGAGGGCAATGTGGATGAAGTAGAGATGTCAAATAAGAAGCAGATGAAGAAGACGAAGAACAGCGATCTCGGTACTTCAGGGGACGGCGAGAACAAGAAAGGGGTTGAGATGAAGGGTGAATCGAGCCATGGGGAAGCTAGTTTAGGGGAATCGAGCCATGGTAAGCAGAAGAAGAAAAAGAAGAAGGACAAGAGTAGAGAACTTGAGAATGGCTATGTTGGTGTTTACAATGAAAATGGTGACCAGGAAGATGCGAGGGGGAAAACGAGAATGAAGGAGGAAGAACATAAGAGTGATCGGTTGACGCAAAAGGAAGAGAATAGGAAGAAGAGAAAGAGTTGTGAGATTGAGGAGGAAAGGAGAGATAACAGTCGTTCTGAAGAGCGGCCTAGAAAGAAGAAGAGGTCCATAGATTGATAAACCGAGTGATGGAAGTGTAGACGATGGATTTCAGGATGTTTATTTTGGGTAATTTGAGTGATGCTTTGATCAAGGCTTGGATTCGGACCAAGTAGGCTGCTTTTTGCTTCTTGATATTTGCTTATCTGATTTTATGGTTGAATGATTCCTTTCCCTAATGATCAATTATTGGGCACTTCATATGTTGAACACAGCATACGGGTACGGTGGTGGTGTTCATGTTTCTTCCTGCCGTTGTGATTACTTCAGCCCTGATACAGCTAATCAGCCGAGCTGGAAGTGGAAGCACTTATTTGACGAAGACTTATTTCATTTTCCAAATGCGGGTGGCATTTAGCTAGATTACTTTCATTCATGACTATGAACTTCAGGAGCATGCTGTTTGAATTTGATAGTGTCTTGCAGAGTTTGGAAATAGCTATCTTCAGGCTTGTCGTATTCCGTATTCGGTATGTACATGACTTGGGGTGAGAACTCGGAAGTGCCCACTTTTATGTGCTTCTGCAACTTGGGACTCGGCGAGCTGCGAACAGGGTCTCGTCGATTCAACTTCTTCAGTTTGTTCAGCTTACTCCTATCCTTTACCTTTAGGCTTGCCTTCTTCGTAGTGTCAATGTTATTTGAGAACTGGGAATTGTGCAATCTTTATGTTTCTGCAAGACTGCAACTAGTGACGAAAGCTGAGCTACAGGATCTCATGAATTCTTCAATTTCTATCATTTCACTGTTTTTAATATCTACCTTTTGAGCTTAGCTTCTCCTTTTAGTTTCAGTGTCTACATGTTGTGTTACATTGAGTTATTGGATTAGCTATGATTGTATTGGTATTTGCCACAGAACGTTTAGTTATTAATACGATTTAGACGCCTCTTGGTGTCTGTCTTTCTACCAAAAAAAGGAATCTATGGAGTACAGAAACTGGTATAGTTCAGCATCTTTTGGCCGAAGAATGAAGATACTGCTGCATTTACATACACTATTGTTAAACTGTTATGGTTGCTGCATGCTGTGACTCGATCCCTATGTATGGTGATGTAGACTAGACTTTTTGGCGCTAATTGCTATTTCTGTGTAGTCACAACACACAACCTCATCCGAATAACTCCTCTAGTCAACTCATAGAGGCAAATGTATAGAATGTGCCAGAGCAATCCTACATAAAGTAAGAGCAAACACTTTGTGACTAGTGATTCGGGCTCAAATGTACACATTTTACCCCTCATTTCTTATTCGTTTAGCTTAGTATTTCATCGTTCTTCGACATATTTCACGCTAGGTTGTGTTTGTTTTGATACATTTCAGGTCATAGCACGTGTGGAAGGGTTGAAGACGAGTTTTGTGATATTTGGAGGTCAAAAAGCGCAAAAATCGAAGAAAAGTCCGAAGTCCGTGACAATTGCACCATAGTAGTGAAGTGAAGGCGTCCCACGAAACAGCCGCAGTTCACGGCCGGACAAGGCAGTTCACGGTCTCCTAAGACTGTGAACATTGACCACAAACCGTGAACATCGAGCAGTCTAGTGAGGTTCTAGAAGTTACTGAAAACAAGGCAGTTCACGGTCTCTAAGACCGTGAACTGGGGCCATTATTCGTGAACCCAGCAGAGTGAAGCGGCGCGTTTTGGGACGACACTGAGTTCACGGATGCGTTTAGGTGTTCACGGTTGTGAACTGACCAACGCGTCCGTGAATTAGTCGCTTTCGACAAATATGAAGACATTAGCGGGGAGAGAGAAGGGAGAGCTGGTTTTTAGAGAAGAAACACTTTCTTTCTCTAGGGTTTCAACCTAAAACATCGAAGGGGAATTCTAGTGAGAGAGAAAGAGTGCTAGAGTGATCTTGGAGCATCATTGGATGCTTGGGTGGAAGATTCAAGCCTAGAAGAAGAAGAAGAAGATCTTGAGATCAAATTTTCTCTCTTTCTCTCTCTCTAGAAACTCACTCTTTTCTCTTTGGTGGTGTAGATCCCTAACTAATACTTTGTAATTATTTGTTTAGATTGAATGATTAAGTGTGGGATTGCATCAATTTGAGTATTAGAGGTGTTTTATGGTGATTGTACATGCTCGTGCTTAGCAATCTAAGGGTTGTGCATGTTTTGTACTTAGCATCCTTAGGTTTGTGCATTTTGGTGTTTAGCAACCTAAGGATTGTGCATAATTGAGCTTAGCACCCTTAGGTTTGTGCATGTTATTGCTAGCAATCTAATTAGCCACCTTAGCCTAGCTTAGAGAGGAAAATCCCCCTTTCAAGGGAGACTCAATCGAGTTGGTTTTCCTTCCGCTTTCTAAGCCACCTAAACTAGTTAAGTTAGGGCAACCCTCAATATTGAGTTAAGCAAATCGGTTAATTGTGATCAAGCCGTCCAACCTTAGAGTTGAGTGAGGGAGTAAATCAACTAGTGATTGTCTAAACCGAGAGGGTTGAGTGACGCGCTTTCATGCTTACCTCGGTCTAGAAATTGAGATTGTGGTCTCCGACCATATATGCATCCCTCTACGTTTCACGATTTCCAGTTTGCATATAGGTTGGTTGTGATTAAGCCGCTCAAACTCCGGTTTGAGGGAAAGACCTAGGCAACCACTAGTGACTGAGTGAGAGGATCGATCTCGTGACAAATAGACCTCGAGTGAATCCATCCTGTGACAAATGGATCACTAGTTGCTCCTCCTAGTGGTTCCCCTAGATTTGGTGAGTGGATCGATCCCGTGACAAATAGATCGCTAGTGATTCGATTCCGTGACAAATCGATCACTAGTTGCTCACCCCCGCGATTCACAACCACCTACGCCACACGAATCCATTCAATCCAACGAGTCACGGTAGCTAGTTAGGGGGAAGCAACTCTCGGGTGAAGCTCCCTTAGTTAGAACTTTCCTTTATTTACTTTTTCTTGCTAGTTTAGTTTGTAGTTTCATTAGCTCTAAACCCAAAAGTTGTTTGCTAGATAACAACCTAAGCGATTGAAGAAGGGGTACATGGATCAGCCCCGGTTGACAATTTAAATACTTGCTCTATACTGCACCCTGCTAGAGTTTAAAAACTTGGGCTCTAGTCGGGATTAATTTGTGGTGTAGTTTCGTGCGAGTCAATTAGTAAAAGGTGTGAGAGGTGATATGAATTGCTTGATTGATTGTGAGCTAGTGTAGTTTCTCTCTATAGCGTGAGTGCTTGTGAGGAAGAGAGAAAAAGAATATTGCTCTATTCTTGTCAAGAGTTTGAATTTTTCACACAAAGGGACTCAATTTGGAGTTAGATTGAAAGAGGATCAAAACCTAGACATTAAGTCTTAAAGGGTGCCACATTTGAGTCGAGACGTAAAAATAGGTCGAACTCGGTTACCAAATCATCTTGTGTCCAAGGGCGGACCTAAGGCAATTGAGGGTTTGTTGTCCGTCATATTTTCTGTACAAATTTTTTTAGTTCGGCACTTCCTACAACCCTTCAATAATTATAGTCGACACACCTTCATTACACTGGAAGAATTTTATTATTCAAATGAAATAATCTTAAGATTTTATTAAAAATATTTCTTTTTAATTTGTCTAAAATTACTAATAATCCTAACTGTTGGGCATGTGACTCGGATCCTTCTCCATTGAAGAAACACCAAGGGTGATCGCGTCAAGGAGAAGCGCGCGAGTACACCGGAGTGAAGCGCGGGAGTCACGCCGGAGTCAAGCGCGCGGGTCGCGCCGGAACTAAGCACGCTGGTGGAGACCACCCCCGGAGGAGCGCGCACAAATACTAAACGACGACGCGTCACCTGGTCGTGGGCCTTATCGAGAAGCCGCAGAAGCGGCGCTGCGTCACCGCGTCACCTAACGGGTAGTCACCATCATAGTCCTAGGTATAGTCCTGCTTGTGTCAGGAGTAGTCACATCAGTGTCCTAGTCACATCAGTGTCCTAAAAGCGTGGACTAAATCCCTGGCATGTCAGTGGTCATATCATTGTATCCACTTGCAACCCAACCACTCACCCACCACCATGTAGCCTATAAATATGGCATTTACTCCGGTGGGTGAGGGGATCGGATTTTTCAGACTCTATCTCTAAAATCATCAACTTTCTCTCTCAAGAATACGACTCTCCCAATTCTCTTTGTAATCTCCCCAGTTCTAAACGGAAGATTTTCCTCTTTGTTTACTCTCCTTGACCCATTTCCCCTGAGTCTCACTCCTACACCCAGTTAGGCTCAAACAATTGGCGCCCACCTTGGGGCCAAGTAGAGAAGCAAAGAAAATCCCAAAGAAAATTAACCTATGGCAGAGCGCAGCTCCAACTCACCTGACGAATCAACCCCAATCAAGGCGATGACCAACCCAAGGGAATTCGCGGAAGGCAGCAATCTCAACGCGGTGCTCTTGGAAGAGGAAGAGCCCGAGCTCACGGCCAAAGAAACGAGACAACTGATGACGAAGCAGAGCGACGTCATAGCTAACATACATAAACAAATGAGCCAGGTTATGGCGCTCATGATGAGCAAGGAAGCCGCGGCAACGGCGGGCGCGACTCCATCGGTGCCGGGGACTGTCCTGCCACCACACCCCGCGCACGAAGCGCAACAGGTCGAGCTCACAATATGCGCGACACCAGTCGCGCCCCAACAAGCCCACGGAGAAACGGCGAGGACAGTCCCACCACCCCACCCCGTATACGAAACGCAGCAAACTGAACTTCCAGGAAGGGCGGATCTGAGCTTTCTAGAGCAACACCTGTCTCCGCAATACCGACTCAACGCACCCAAGAAGGCACTCCACCAGCCGCTTAGCGCGGAAATAATGGCGGAACACCTGAGCGGAATGCCACCCGCCCTCCCAACATACAACGGGACGACAGATCCCGAGGATCATGTGAGCACCTTCTGCCTGCGGATGCAGCTCCAAACCAACTCCAACGCGGCGCTATGCCGAACCTTCCCATCAACCTTTTCAGGAATTTTCCTGGATTGGTACAACAGGCTACCGAACGGGATCATCCGCTCGTTCGAGGAGTTTATACTCCTATTCACCACAAAGTTCGCCTCCCAGAAAAGGAGGCCCCTCCATCTCAAGGCGCTGGTAGACCTCAGGCAGAAGGATGGGGAGAGCCTACGATCATTTTATGCCAGATGGTCCAGAGTGGCGATGGCAGTGCGCGACCTCACTCCCGAGACTGCCGCCCATCACCTTATGGAAGCCACAACTAACATGGAACTCAAGCGGGCGCTAGCAAAGAGGCCCGTAACTCTGTCAACGGAATTGGAAATGAAGATCGAGAATTCAATCACGCTGGAAGAAACCCTCGGAGCGGGATCGGTTAGGCGCTTTGAGCCAGCAAAATTGCCACGGGAGGAGCAGGGACGGCGTCCGATCACGCTGCCGCGAGATCAGCTAGCGCAGCTGCACAGCGGGCAAAAGCGCCATCCCCCTCCTCCACAAGAGCAAGGTCAGCGGGGAAGGTCGCCAGACAGACGCGCGCCCCACGCGTTCACGCCGCTCAACGACTCCGTGAAGAACGTGTTCCACGTTCTGCGCGAGAAGGGATACAAGCTCAACTGGCCCGCACCTCTGAAGTCCTTGCCCCACATGAGGGACCCAAAGAAACATTGCGACTTCCACAGAGCAACGGGGCACTGGACGGAGGATTGTCGAGAGCTGCGCTACGAAATAGAGGGCCTCATACGGCGAGGATTGCTGACCGAGTTCACGCACGAGAAAGAGGAGCAAGTGCGGGGGCCCCAAAACCCGCCACCACCGCCACAATCCGACTACAACGAAACCACGGCAGAGTATGTGGTGCGAAAGGAGATAGGGGTGGTAACGGTGGAAGGGGATCGCCCGAAGAAGAAAACCAAGCGCGAACGAGCGATCGAATTCGCGGCAGCGGATGTACCAGCAGGAGGCCAACTAAGCTTCGACGACACCGAATTACCGCAAGGCATTCCGTCAGAAGACCCGCTCATTATCACTGCGCTAGTGGCCGCCTGCAAAATTCACCGTCTACTGATAGACGGAGGCGCCGCGGCAGACATCCTCTTCCAAAGCACCATCGACAAGATGGATATCGACCCGGGCCTAATCAAGCGCGCCCAAGGAAACCTGGTCGGTTTCTCTGGAACAAGGGTACCAGTAACTGTGGTGATCACTCTCCCTGTGGTCATCGGGGACCAAGAGCCGCGCGTCTCAAAACAACTCGAGTTCACAATAGTCGACTGCCAATCATCCCACAACGGCATCTTGGGCCGACCATTCCTGGCAAAATTCATGGCCCTTCCTTCCACGTGCCACCAAAAACTCAAGTTCCCTACCAAAATGGGAACCGGAGAGGCGCGCGGGACACCATGGGGGGCCCCGAAACTAGAGGGAGAGCCCAGGCAAACAAACATCGTCGACACAAGGCCAGAGGAGCCCCGCCCGGAATCAATGGATTCCGATTTCGAGGTCGCGCTCGACCCAACCGAGCCGACCAGGAAAATATGCATCTCGACTCACGTTCGCGACGACGCGATTGCGCCACTAATAGCGCTACTAAAGGAGTACAAAGAGTTATTCGCCTGGTGCACCGAAGACATGCCAGGGGTTCCAAGGCAGGTGGCTCAATATTGCCTCGCAGTCCCGCCGAGCGCAATTCCGAGGCAACAAGCGCGGCGCGGCTTTACAGGCGAC